TTAATTTGCCTCAAGACAGAATTACGATTCTGGTATAGGTGAAAGTGTAGGTACAAAGGTAAAATTCAGTAGAACAGAATGAAAATAACTACTACGAATTCGATGGTAAACTTTTCCCTCAAAACAAACACTTTAAAATACACAATTCGGTTAAGTTTTGGAACAGCTGTAAGTAAAGTTGTTATAAATATAAGGCAGTAGTTACGTTGTCTTTAAAACCTACTGGACTCTGTAATAATCCCAGCAGGAGCATACCTCTTGGTATTACTCACATCTCTAGCTATTTTATTCAAAGTGGCTCTCCAACTTTGAAAATCTTTTTTTCAATAAACTTCGCCCGCCACCTCAAGTTTGCATACGTGTTCAGTCTCGTGCGATGTCTGTAACTGTAATTTCCCGCCAAGTAGAAAAAAATACCTCCCGAGATCCTTTGCGAATGTCATTCAGTCGTGTCCTCAATTATGTAAAGTAGGTCTATGTATTTCGTATTTATATTATTACATGATTAATACGACTACTACTAATATTAATAGTAATAGCAATAATTATTATTTTTCTGCACGTTGAATGTTATCTGCCAAATGATAATTATTTAAGTAATATTGACTGGAAAAGGTCATATTCATCTATTCCTGATGAAAGCAACTTCCATCTCAGCGTGTTCAGCATCACCTGAACATGCTCATCCAGAGCCACACCTACATTATGTTTTGTTGTAATCAGAAGAGTATAACTGTAAATTATAAGGGCAAGATATTATAAGCACTGGGTCATTTCATTTGGTAAATGACTCAGTCTTACGTAGGCCTATGCTTAAAGATGCTGGCATGTATCCATCTACAATAAATTATTTATTATGGATGAATACATAGTTCCATTATCCCCTCTTTAATAACCATAACATTTAAGACCATCAAAATCAAGCAATTTAAGCACATAGCTGTTTCATAAATATGCAAATACGCTGATATATTTCATGAGTTCTGCAGTGAATACCAGCATCCATTAAATCTATATAATGGAAAATGTAGTTTACAATAACATTATAGTTTGAATAACCAACTTTTAAATGTTCAATTGAACCCAAATGGTTTATTTTGTTCTTGACTAATCAGGTGCCACAAAAACAGACATCAGTAATATATGGAATCAATAGATGAGTCACATTTAAGAGTATAAATTTCACCCTTTTGGGTGATATATGTGGCCAAAGATTAAACATAAGGAGTTTTAAAACCAAAGAAAGTTCCACGATGCAGGGTGATGACTGAGGTAGGACACGGAAGCAAAAGTCCCTTAATTGATAATGAGGTTCTGCTGTAATTGCATTTGTTTTCTTTCTATTGACCATCAGGTTAATTCTAGATGAACACCTTAGCATAAATACAAAAAAGCAGTGATCGTACTTATTCTGCTTTAGGATTTTATTCAGCTACCAGAAAATACTCACAGTATAGTAGTATTAAAACAGCAGTCTAACAGTATATTGCAGAATAGTATTGGAAATTAATAATAGTATTGTGGTACAATGATAAGAGAAAAACACAGTGTGTGTTTTCATGTTTATATGTGCCTACATATCTGAAATTATTTACCTTCTAAATAATGGCGTATTCCACAGCAGTCATCCACACAGACAGAAATAAAAAACATACCCAAACCACAGTCTTAAATTAAAGTGCTTTTGTCATATGGACTATTTTTATTTAGGCAAAATTTGATTTGTTAAATAGCTTAGCTCATAAGAATACTATAAATCACCACATAACTAATTTCCAGCAATCTATGACAGCTAACTAGTCCCCTTCTCTTCATCCTTCTGCAGCAAGAATAGCAATAAAATAAACTGCAATGTGTTTAGAGAACTATTTCAGTCTTAATGAATTTTCATATCATACATTCCCTTTCTTTTAACAAATCAATCAGAATAAATAATACATTTCTTAAGTTTAAATTTTCACCTTTACACAAAGGGAATCTGATGAGGTAGAGCACATACACTCATCTTAAATGTCTTTCGAAATAAAAAAAATCAACACAAAAAGTAAAATATCACTTATACCTTAGAACCACTAAAGGAAGCATTGTTCAATACAATATTAGACCAATTCAAATAATAAACTGTATAGTCAAAGATTTCTGAAACATAGAATAAAAAAATCCAACTGGAACTAAATGATAAACGGCTTTATTAAGTACAGTAGAGAAAGTAGAAATCTAAGTTTCTAATACAGAATTCAATGATCAAGTAAAGCTTAAATGACTCAGTAATGGAAATTCAGCAAAAACCACAGCCTAAAAAAGCACCACAAGAACAAAATGTTTATATTAAATTAAATGGATCCTCTTACGGAAAACCAGCTGTTTTATGGAAAAACTAGGTAAAATAACTATGCTGAAGGAAACGGTAAAAAAAGAAGAAGAAAAATTGACAAAAAGTTTTGAGTTTATGAATCCGGAGGCTGAGTGAAAGTGGTATGAGAAATACTGGGAAATCGAGTAAAATTTGTAATTTCCGCAAAAGCACTTAAAGAGGATACCCAACTCTTTTCCCAGGAAATACAGATTCCCCCCCCCCCACACACACACACTATCGATCCTTCTGCATAACTTCAGGATGAAGGCGCTTTGCCGGCGTTCCCCTGGCCCCCACCAACCCCTGCCCCATGTGTGCTCACTCTCGTCCTGTTCATCACATCTCCAGACCTTGCCACTGCTTGCAACAGATGCGCCCGGGACACATCCAGACATATTTCAAAACAAATCAGAAGCAAGTGTAACGGCTTGCCGCAATACACAGTCACGTTGTGTAATTTGCAGCGTTTGACCTGCAGTTGGTGGTGCTAAAATATTTCCCTTAGTCTGTAAACATTAACCCTTATACATTTATATCATCTGATAGCTGTTGTTAAATCACAAGGGTTTATCCTGCAGTATGCGCTGCAATAATATTTTCCTCTCTACTGTAAATATCAGCCCTTATACATTTACATCCACTGATAGTTACTGCTACCATAAAAAGCAAATTCACATTTGTATCTATTTCATGCACTGTGCATAGAAAATTACATCTGCAATTTCCAGAATTGTAACTGTTATGTAAATAATTAACATTTCTACGGCTAATTTAAAAAAAAAATTAAATCAGTGTTCTTGCTTCTGTAAATTTAAATATCCAACATATATTAAATCAAAAAGATGTGAAAACACTTTAAATGTCTATACATATATCTATAGCCTCTTGAAGTTCCCTCTATCCATGTATGTATGCACATACACTCCAGCCAAAGTCTATCACATGCCTGCTG